CTCAAAAATAAGGATTTAATAGACTTTCTGCATATCTCATTTATTTGTTATCGAATATTCTCGGATAATTTTTTTTCACTAGCCTTTTCCTTATCACAATTATTATTATTAATAAAAATAATAATAATAATAAATTTAATTTAATTACCATTAAAAATGGGGAGGCTCAATCCCAACGGTTTGTCTATTTAAGACAGCTGGTAAGCTTCATTTCTCCTCCCCTCCCTCTCTCTCTCTCTCTCTCTCTCTCTCTATTGTGTAATAAAGGGTTCATTCATTCAAATTCTGGTAATTTTCTTTCTTGGGTTTTTGCCATTTTAATTAATAATTATTATTATTCCCATGCATATTAATAACATCATAAAATTCACGTTAACTTATTCATAATTACGATGGCTAATGTGCGTGAAAACATGTGTTTCTGGTTGATCATTTCTGTCCAAGATTCTGGGGAGTTTTTTTTCTTGCAAGATTATATTGTTAATTAGCAGATATACAAACCCTCAATTATTGGACCATTTTATCTTAGATTAATTATTCATTATTTCTATATATACAATTATATATATATATATATATATATATATATATATATATATATATATATATATATATATATATATATATGGAAGATGTTGCAGTTGGCCCACTTCAATGTGTGGTTTCAATTATTACAAACCAAATCAAATTGTCCATTTATGTAGTTCATCCTTATTTATTTTTTTTCCCAGCCATGAAAACATATAGATTGAGAATTAAACTGAATTTTCATTTCAATTTCGAAAAATTTACGTTATCGTTGCACACAATGCTTACCTATTTTAGTTGTTTCCTCAATTTCTTCTAGATCAATCAAGATGGAGTACATGCAAGTTCAGACGCCGAAATACGATTGCCTCCTATTCGGTAAGTTTCCGTTATATATACCCTTCACTTCAAACACGTTCTTTTTTTACTCAAAAAAAAAAAAAAAAAAAACACGTTCTTTTTCGAAAAGTCAAAAAAAGTCAACTCCGACAAATTTATTTCAATTCTTGTTTTTAGATCTTGATGACACCCTTTACCCTCTAAGTACCGGTCTACAAGCAGCAGTTCTTACAAACATCCAAGGTATGTAATATTAGTCTTCAATTATTGTTAACGAAGATGTTCGATTTTTTGTTAATCACGTGTCGATTACGTAATTTATTTCAGCTTATATGATTGAAAAATTGGGTGTCGAAGAGAGCAAAATACCCGATTTGTGTGATCTTCTGTACAAAAACTATGGCACCACAATGGCTGGTCTTAGGGCAATTGGCTATGATTTTGACTATGATGAGTACCATAGGTATGTAATGTAATGTAATTAAAACCCTTAATTTTTTGTTAATTGTTTATTAAATATCGAAATTTCGATCTTGCAGCTTTGTCCACGGCAGATTACCGTACGAGAATCTAAAACCGGACCCCGTTTTGAGAAGCCTTTTGTTAAGCTTACCCATCCGAAAAGTCGTACGTACATTTTACTAATAGTTTGCCATTACACTATTAATGATTCATTCAATTGTGTTAAAAGATGCTTATTTATTTATTACGCGACAGATATTTACGAACGCTGATAGGGTACACGCGGTCAAGGCGTTGACTAAACTCGGCCTAGAAGACTGCTTCGAAGGGATCCTCTGTTTCGAGACACTTAACCCTACACACAAGAACACCGCATCGGATGATGAAGATGATCTCGAGTTTCTAGGGTCAACGGAACCTTCTAGAAAATGTTCTAATGCCGAAATCTTCGACATAATTGGACATTTTTTAAAACCCGATGCAGGATCAGCTACTTTGCCTAAGACTCCGATTATTTGTAAACCATCGGAATCTGCCATCGAAATGGCTCTTAAAATCGCCAACATTGATCCACATCGAACCGTACGTTTAACACTTACATATGTCGCCACACGCATTGCATACATATATATACATTTTGATTCAATTAATATATAATTAGATCTATTCCTCTAACTTGTATGTGCAGTTGTTCTTTGAGGACAGTGTTCGAAATATTCAGTCCGGAAAACGTGTAGGTCTCGATACAGTACTGGTAAGTACATATTTACGAAAATTAAACGAATGAATTAAAATTGATTTTTTTTTTTCGATTTTTTTTTTTGAATTGATGTTATAAAATTGTGAATGTAGGTTGGAAAAGCGCAGAGGGTGAAAGGATCGGATTACGCGTTGGAAAGTATACATAATCTGCGAGAAGCAATACCGGAGCTTTGGGAAGGTGATAAAGTTACCTACACGGGGGTTGCGGTTGAGGCTGCTTCCGTGACAGCTTATAGCTTAGCTTAGCTTAACTTAATGAGAGAACAATCTTTCTTTGGTCTCTTTCATCAAAATAACCGTGTAATTAATCATTTATTCTGCTGCTGCTGCTGCTGCTGTCATCAATCAATTCATGTATAAATTATATTCCTTTTGTTGCAATAATATGTGGGTGATTTGATTTATCACGAAATCAAGAAACGGGCACGCAAAGTATGTGTATACATATATTCCTTCTATTTTTGAAATAAGTGATTATGGTTATGATTATGATTACGATTTTATCGAATGTTGATGAATGGATTCAATTATTATTTATTTAATTTTTTTTGGTTTAATGAATGATTAGCTGGCCACGTTTTATTTAGCTGCAGACAGATGGTGAAATTGACATGCGAAATAACAAATTAGCTGTGATTACCGGAACTTTTATTGTCTATTAACATTTATTGTGGTGAGAATCAAATTTTATTGTCTATTAACATTTAGTTTTCGTCCCTTAAGTTTGCATCATTTACATATTTGGTCCCTTTTGTTCACAAAAAAAATATATTTGATCCTTCATGTTTCAAAAATTCAACACGTTTTGTCATTTCCGTTAGTATTAACGTAATCAAGCGTGTGTCCATCACTTCCTTACCTGACGGACAAATGGTAAATTGACGGAAATGAACAAAAATGTTAAGTTATTGAAACATAAAAATGTGTATTTTCTAAACATGGTGACCAATTGTGAAACCAGTGCAAATTTAAAGGGTGAAAACTATACTTTGCCCATAAATGTTTTATTGGAAATAAGTGCCAAATTAAATAATTTGAAATAAATAAATAAAAAATCTTCATGGAAGGAGTAAAGAATTACTGGCGTTATAATGGAGTGTGTGTACTGTAGCGATAAGGTGATTGGTGAAAAAGATAAGAAAACTAGAGCCCCACCGTACGATACGATACGCCACGCCACATTGCAACGGTCCACCACAACCACCAATATTTTCGCCATTCTCGAAACTTCTTTTTTTCCGGTCGACGGGCGGATTAACGGGAAGCCGTCCAACTAAAGAGCGGCGGCCATGACACGTGTCCCCTTTACGGCGTCGTGTTCTACTTCTATCCATAAGTGTTGTTTGGTCAACACAATAAATATCGGCACTACATCACTTGCTGCATTCCCCAATTCCTTAGCTCTCCCATTTGTTCCTCACACAAAAGCCACAAGCGTTCGGCGAATTTCTGTTGTTGCGATGTCTGATCTGAGCAAAAGCACTGTTCTCGTCACCGGCGCCGGCGGCAGAACTGGTAATTTTATCTTTTTTTCGCGGCGTTTCTGATTCTCTCCTTCCTATGTATAATTCTCTGTTAATTATGATAATGTGTGTCTACATGGGGAATTAAATTTAGGTAATTGCTCGTGTTAGGTAAAGATGATTAAATATGCACTTAAAAATGAAATTGTCTTGTCGTTCTGTTGGATAAAAGTGGTGGATCTTGTTACACTGGGTAATTTGAAATTTTGCCCAAGGATTTTGTTTGGTGGCGAATGGGAGCTTCGGCTTAGGGTTTAGGGTTTTGTGGATATGTTTGTTGCAGATTATGACCATTAACAAGTTCTTCGTTTAATTATGAACTTAAAGATGATTTGCTGATTATTGATTGTAGATTCGTAGTAAATGAAATCAATCCTTAGAACACCGATTCAAAGATGAAGCAAAAATGGGGGAAAATATGATTTGTGTCCTTCAATCACTCGTTTTGTTTTCGGTGATAGTATGTTTGCTATCTCTCATCCATGGAAGTTGCTCTATGGACTATTAGTGCACTTGTATTTGTTTATACTTTCTTGTATTTCCACGACATGTCGAAAAAGTCCCCTGAAAACAAAATCCATTGCTCGATAATTGCAGGCCAAATTGTTTACAAGAAACTGAAGGAGAGATCAGACCAGTTTAATGCTAGAGGTCTGGTTAGAACTCAAGAGAGCAAAGAAAAAATCAATGGAGATGACAGTGTTTACATTGGGGATATAAGGAACACCGAAACCCTTGCTTCACCGATCCAAGGTATCGATGCTCTTATAATTCTCACGAGCGGTGTTCCAAAGATGAAACCTGGGTTCGACCCAGCTAAAGGTGGCAGACCCGAATTCTATTTCGAAGATGGAGCAAACCCTGAACAGGTTTATTTATATTATGGCCTATAAGTCGAACCTTCGTGTTTAAACAAAAATGTCTTATTTGCAACTTTCTTGATTGTGTGTGTCTATTTGTTTTTAGGTTGATTGGATTGGACAGAAGAATCAAATAGATGCTGGTGAGGATCTTATACTGTAGTTGCAGGTTTTTTTCATTGCTTCTTATGATGATCTAATAGGAATTGTATTGAACAGCAAAAGCTGCTGGAGTGAAGCAAATCGTGGTGGTTGGATCTATGGGAGGAACAAATCTTGATCATCCCTTAAATAGCTTGGGAAATGGAAATATCTTGGTCTGTACACAATTTTTATTTTTATTTTAATTAACAGTAATGTGAGACAATACATAAATCTACTGGCTCGATATTACGAACAGAGAACGTCGCTTCTAGACCAAATTATTTTCCTCGTAACTGAATTGTACTTTTATTGTAGGTCTGGAAGAGAAAGGCCGAGCAATACCTGGCCGATTCAGGAATTCCATACACGATAATTAGGTATGCCTTATAAACCCGTAAATATTGATAACACTCGTAATTTAACTTTCCTTAGTGCATGAAGTAGATCGAAGAAAGGCTATAAAATATTACGGACATGTGTAAAACATCTTGGGTTCTGTTACTATTACTACAAAGGTTGTCTTTGATGTAAACAATAACGCGAACTAAGTTGATTTATATAAACTTCATGTTGGGTATAGGGCTGGAGGATTGCAAGACAAAGAAGGTGGTATAAGAGAGCTACTAGTTGGAAAAGATGATGAACTTCTTCAGACAGAAACAAGAACCATTGCTAGGGCTGATGTTGCAGAAGTTTGCCTTCAGGTTATTACTAAAGCATACGACCCTCTTTTGATTTTCTTCCATGTTTTTTTCATTTTTTATTTAAAAAATATCGATAACAATATTAACACGAACATTTTAATACAGGCACTGAAGTTTGAGGAGGCAAAATTCAAAGCATTTGACCTGGCCTCAAAGCCTGAAGGAACCGGCGAGCCGACGAAGGATTTTAAGGCTCTGTTTTCCCAAATCACTACTACCTTCTGATTAACGAGCTCTGTTCTTCGTTGCTTGAATAAATCTCATCGTATTTAATCGGCATTTTGCTATGTGTACTATTACATTATGCGATGACATACATGTTCTGTTATGGCTCATGATTAGTTGATGTTGTTGATCAATTTGCTTGTGTTTTATTTATGGTGTCTTTTTAAATAATTAATATGATGAATCAAGATTTTTTATTTCCAGAAATTAAAAAAAAAAAAAAGGCAAAATTAAACAGTTTTTCTGCTACATGTTTTAATTTACACCTGATAAAATACATTAAATAATATAATATTGTATAATATAATATAAACATAAACAAACCCCTTGAAAAATCAAAACAATATCTCAAAAAGGACCGGAATGAAAATATACTCATAAATGGGTTATCTTTCTACTCAGCTCGAAAATATAATCAACTCATAAATGGCGCTAGTTTTGTATCCCAACTGTAAAAATATTTACCCTAAACCATTTTCCACAACAAGGAACCCTAATTTCAAACTCAATCGCTCGCAATCCTCCGTTCAATTCGCGGCGAACCACTCTCCTTTCTCCGCTTCCACCAATGTATTCCATATATAATTTTCTTCTGATTTATTTTACAATTTTTTTGACATCTTCGTCTAATTTGTTATTTTGTGTCTCTCGTAGCGGCGGAGCCTCCGGGTTTTCAACAATCCAGGAGAAGATTCCGGCCAGAGCGGCGGTTCTCCAGAGGGTAAGTTCCTATTCATCTGTATGAGCAAATTTCAAAGTGCTATTGCATCAGAAATTGAGTTTTCCAGGGTTAATTTCCCATCCATTTTCAGATAATGAAGTCGATAATTTGGGCGTTCAAGCAGCATTATCAATGCTAAGATTCTACAAACGTCAGTTTTTTTTTTCCTCGATTCATTTTTAAATTATTGGTTGTGTATCGCAAATTGATCGAACTCTGGCAGAAGAATCTGTTGGTTTCAGTTTGAGAGTGTGTTATATTTGAATATGGGGGAGAATTCTAATTTCTAATGTTAGGGTTGTGCAAACAGGGGAAATATCACCATTGATGCCGAATAGCTGTAGATACCTTCCAACTTGCAGTGAGTACTCGATGATTTCTTACAAGAAATACGGAGTTTTGAAGGGGACGATTTTGACCGCTTGGCGTCTCTGTCGCTGCAATCCTTTAGGTATTGTACATTATATAAACATTCCTTTTTTTTTTTCGTTTCTTCATCTGTGACTTACGAGAAACAACTGTTTGATTTGCTTTTGAACATGACAGGAGGATCTGGTTTCGATCCCCCGCGGTGGTTTGACGAGACGACTCCACCTGAGCAGTGAGTTGAAGTTCTATTATGTAAAGGTACTTTCTTAATTATCATACTAAAGATGGTTTCTGTATATAACTTCTATTTGAACTTTGACATTGATTCTTTTTAAATAGCATGAGCTACATATGTGTTACTCTAAGTATTGAGTCGAGCATAACGCATGTTTGTTCAAAGTTCAAACTTGTTTGAATCTTTATCGAGCTTCTGCATTTGTGCTTGGTTGATAAGCAAATAAGTTGAGCTCGAACGAGCTTTAATAGAGCTCGAGAAGCTTGATTCTTTTAGACATATTTTATCATTTTCTTTTATTGAGTCGAGCTCGAGCAGAACTTCACAGCTTATGGGGAACGGAAAACATGCTATCAAGCTTGGTTCTCGAATAAGCTTTAATAATAAATTCGAATCGAGTATCTATAACTCTAGTATTGGATACTTGATAAAAGGTCCAGTTCCAATATGCAATTTTCTGAGCCTTAATTTGGATTTATTACGTATAATAAAAGCCTATAACGTGATGGGCCATATTCTCGGCCATCTTCGATGTTAGCCCAACAGTAGTCAAACAGTGCAATGTACAACTGATTTGCAATATAAATTTTGGGTAAATTACGGCAACTCCTGATATTAGGTCAAATTACGAAAAAAATCCCTCTTTTTTTGGTGATTTCAACTACCCACCAACTATTAATCTTCTTCCACGTCCATCTTTATGGTGTCAAATTAAAAATATTTTTCTAGATTATGTGGTTAGTGTGTACTCGTTTTGTGCAAAAATGCAGTTTATGATGTACCACAATCTGATATTTACAATTCAAGAAATACATCTTATAATCATCTTGTTTTAAAATGTGGAGCTCGAATAGGATAAAACAGGTACAAACTTGAGAATATTTCACATAATGTAGAAGATTTCACTAAATTTGATATTTCAAGGATAGACGTGTAAGAAGATTCATAATTGAAAGGGTGATTGTAATTACCTAAATATAATGGGATTTTTTTGTAGTTTGACCTTACCTCAAGGGTCGGCCGGTAATTTACCCTTTACGTTTTTGTGGAATGCTGGACAGCTGACCAACCTTTAGAAAGTAGCGTAATATAGATTCACAGTTAGCAAGCCCAGGGAATTATTGAGATGATGACAAGTAAGAAAGAAGTCAAGATTATTGGTAATTAGTCCCATTAAAAAAATAAGATTTTGTTTTAAGTAACACCATTAGAAAAATGAGATTAAAATCATGAACCCGCCAGGTGTAACCAATAATTGAAAGAGTTAAAATTAGACGAAATATGAGACATCAGGTTTTAGATTTGCATTTCTGTCGGAGCACTTCTGGCCTGATTCACATGCCTCTGCATGAGCCCAATTATAAATGTACCACTCAGGCCCACGTCAGACTCATTATAAATATTAATTGCAGATTTTTGGTGGGTGGAAAAGAAATAAAGGAAAAAAGTTTTTCATCGTCCTTTTTTGGACTTCAAAATGGAATATTTTTTTAATTTTATGAAACTTTGTTAGTCGGCAACATTAATTTCAATGAGTGCTAATGAAAATTCTCGAGTATAGCTCAATTGGTTTAGGGATTGTAAGTTAATATTATCGAATACTGCCCGTACTCAATCGTATTGGGAGAATTTCAACCAGACTCAGATCCGCAACCCTAACGATTCACACCTAAAAAACCTAATTAGCACTTGAGAGTTGTTTTTCCCTTCATGTGTCTAGTTGCCAAAAGGGATAAAAAAAAAAAAATATCTTCTTTGGATTAGACAATTTTCAAAGATAGAGGATAATTTAAGTGGCAATTTTCTGTAATTAATTAATTAATTAATTACTTAATTTTGTCGTTAGCTGGTGTGCCTGCGTTGACTCTTCTTGTGGCAGTCGACATTAGAAAAGTAAACACTCAATTAGACTCTGTCTTGCGTAATTAATCTCATAAAAATTATAAAAATATTCACATTTTTTATTGTTATAAAATAAAAACATATTTATGTAATATCTAAACTTTAGTAAATCATTTCTGTTTTTAATTAAAAAAAATAAGATAGAAAACAATAATGCAAGTTGAGATAAATGAAATCAAAGAAAATAGAGAGCAGTGAGAGGTTGAGAAAGAAAATAAAATAATAATAATAACTAAAATACCCCTCTCTAGTTATAAAAGATCATAAAAGTTTTTTTGTTCGTTGCCACGTTTACACACGGCGGGTAAAACCGTTGACCTATCTCCGTCCACCCCCCGCCCCGCCCCGCCATTCTCCTCCGCCGTTTACCCACCTCACCCACCCACGCCTGTAAATTCATACCCACTCTTAAAACTTCCCAACAAACTTAAAAACCACCAAAGAAAAAAAAAAGATTTCCTCTCCCTCATTCCCCTATATTTTAATTTCTCGATGGCGATGGAGCCGGACAACATACAAATCCGAGTCCACTCACGGCGGGGCGGCGGCGGCAACATGATTCACCCGGTTTCATTGGAATCTCCACCGCCCTCCATTCCCGCCGCCGGCGCGAATTCCCCGAACGGCGTCGTTTACAGAGAAGTGAAGCATTTCAAGAAATGGCTCCCCTGGTTGATACCTTCCTTCGTGGTAGCTAACACAGTTGTTTTCATAATCACAATGTCTGTCAACAATTGCCCTAAAAATTCCGATTCATGCGTCGCCGCTTTCCTCGGCCGGCTTTCCTTTCAGCCCTTCAAGGAAAACCCTCTTCTCGGCCCTTCTTCTTCCGCGTAATTTTTAATTTCCCTCCTAATTGTTTTTTTTTTTTTTTTTTTTTAATTGGGATTTATAATATATCTGGATGAATTGATTATATTAATTTAGGTTAGAGAAAATGGGTGCTTTAGACGTGTATAAAGTTGTCCACCAAAATCAAGGGTGGCGCCTTATCACTTGTATGTGGCTACACGGCGGCGTTCTCCACTTGCTTGCCAACATGTTGAGTCTATTAATCATCGGCATTCGTCTCGAGCGAGAATTCGGATTCGGTAATTTTATTAGATTATTTTCATGCTCTGTGTTCTTGATTGAATTTGTAGTTAATTAATTGCAATGTTTGTTATCTGATAATACAGTGAGAATCGGTTTGCTTTATCTGATATCTGGATTCGGAGGAAGTTTGTTATCGGCTCTTTTTATTCAGTCGAACATATCAGTCGGTGCTTCCGGTGCACTCTTCGGATTATTAGGTGGAATGCTTTCCGAGCTTATTACTAATTGGACTATATACGCTAACAAGGTACTACTTATCTACCCAATCTCGATTAAGCCGTTTCTAATGTTCAAACTTCATCGTGCAACTTCGAAATACTCGTTTTTTTTGCAGGTATCGGCTTTATTGACACTTGTAATAATTATTGCTATCAACTTAGCCGTAGGAATTCTCCCACACGTGGACAACTTTGCACACATTGGAGGGTTTTTATCGGGGTTTTTTCTCGGTTTTGTTTTTTTGATACGCCCGCAGTTCGGATGGGTTAGCCAGAGATATGCTCCGTCTATTAACTCGTCTGCATCAAATACCCCTAAATTTAAGACATATCAGTGTGTGCTTTGGTTGTTTTCGCTGATCCTTGTCATAGTCGGGTATTTAATCCACTATCTCTCGTTTGCTTTTGACATGTTATAAATATATATAATTTTTTTTTTATTTTTTTTTCAAAATATGTGATGTATCTATATATATGTATGTATAGGTTTACGGTTGGATTGGTTTTGCTTCTTCGTGGAGAGGATTTGAACGATCATTGCTCGTGGTGCCATTATCTAAGCTGTGTTCCTACTTCGAGGTGGAGGTGCAACACACAGCCGATTTCATGCCAGGTTCGATATTTAATTTCTTACAACTAAATTAAAAATCTGAGGTAACAAATTAAACAATGAGTTTCGATTGGCTTATATGTATTCTTACGAGTAGTTTTTTGGATTTTACAGGCTGAGCAAACGGGGAGTCAATATATATTGACATGCTCGAACAGCAGTAAAAGCAGGACGTATTCGCTCCTCAATCCAACTGCTATACAGATTCAGGGATTATGTACTCAGCTTTGTATATAAATTTCAATTTTTTTTTTCTTTCTTTCCGAGGGAATGAGGTTGAATTTAGTATTATTCAATTTGTTTGTAATTTTTATTACATTTAAGATTTGAAGGTGTGAAGTTTGTGGCTTTTGGGTTGAGCTATTACTAGACTGCTTGCAGTTCTTTTGTTAATTTTGCAGTGATTTGCTGAGTTTGCATTTGTTTATGTCATGTATTACAAAATTTATTATTGTTGTTTAAAAGGTAAATTCCACTTTACTCCATTGGACTTTGGCTCGTTATCACTTTACTCCCTTTTATTTTCGGTTTTATAGATTTGTCCCCGGTACTTGAAAAATTATCTCAATGTGGCCCTTTTTGCTAGTTGTCAGAGAGTTCAGACATTTGACCTTAACACCGTGTGATTTATGATATGAAATTACAAAAATGCCACATCTCTCAGTTTAAATAATTATTAAAAAAATAAAAAAAAAAAAACAAAAAAGTAAAATAATAAAAAATTCAAGTTCACGACGCCGGCCACAATTTATTTTTAATTTTTTTAATAATTATTTAAATTGGGAGGTGTAGTTTTTTTGTAATTTTGAGACTTAGATCAAACGGTGTTAAGGTCAAAGGTCTGAAAACTAACGGCGAGGGCCACATTGAGAAAAAAATTCAAGTACAGGGGGCAAATCGATGGAATCGAGAGTAGAATGGGGTAAATTGATATCGAGCCAAATTACAAGGGGGAAAGTGGAATTACCCTTGTTTAAATATATAGTTTTGCTTTAATTAAGTTGAAAAATAATAAAAAAGATATATATAACGGGCCCCTTAAACAGGCCTAAAATGGGCCATTTGGATAAAACTTCTGATTTTATGGGCCTAGTTTCAAGCTCTAAACCGATTTAGTTAGAACATTGAAAAAAATAACAAAAAATAAAAAATAAAAAAATATTTTTTATTATTTTTAATTTTTTATTTTAATCAATTGACATATATCTGTTGCTCGGAAATTTTTATCTTGGGGATTAGTGTGACCTTTCCAAATTGCTTCACAATTTACATATTTCAATTCATGAATTTTTCATAATTTCCGGAGTGTAGAGGATATGGCGGTTCGAGTTATGAACGGCACCGCCGTCTTCCGCTGCTGCGTGGTGTCGCCGCCGCTCTCCGCCGTCCGATGCTGCCTGCACCAGCAAAAGTCTGTTGTTCAATGCCACTCCTCCTCCCGCTTCTCGATTTCCCGGCGACTTCACTATCGACTCGTATCTTTTGGATGTGGGAGGGTTTCTATTTCGAGGTACTCAACTCAGAGTCTGGTGGATTTTGTGGTGGAAGAGCTCGAGTCACTGCGCAAGCGCGGCAGAGTTCGCGCCGCAAACAAGTATGAACATCTGCCCTAGCCTCAATTGCTTCAATGACAATCATATGGACATAGTGTTTATATCAATAAATTGAAGCCTTCAAAAACCGGATTCCTTGATAAAATTGTTCCGAGATATTTTCCGAAGAATTCTTATAGTTTTTTCACACTGTATTGGAAGCTAGAATGGACGGCATAAGTTCGAAGCTATTACAAAACTTGGTGATGGAATGTATTGTGACCTAATAACCTATTCAGAGCTTATTGGAATATCTAAACTGTAATTTCATGTCAATTAGGGATTTTAATTTTAGGGTATTCATAACATGTTTCACGAAGCATGGGTTTGGTTTTTTAATGATGCAATTGACTAAGGCAATTGAAGCAAAATAAGTAGAGATTATTTTCTAGCAGTTTCTAGAACAAAATTACTGCAGGTCAAAATCAATTTCAATTTTCGAGCACATTTTGTTATATAAAGTTTAGCAAGAATTCAGATAAAGTTAACATTATCACTGCAGTATTTAGTTACCATAGTTACATATGATAGATTTTTTGCAGATTGGAATTGAAAATCGGTGAAGAGATTCTTGAGAATAAGTTGGGAAAGCAGGTCTTGCAGAAAGGATTGCTGCTGGAGTTCAGGAAAGACCCGGAGAGAGTATTGCTAGCAGTTGCACAGAAACCAGATGGCAAAAAGAATTGGGTGGTTTCTGATCAGGTTTTAATAAAAATAATTAATGGCGCTTGTGGGATAGGTTGCTAGGTGTTTGATGTTCGTCTTTTGTATACTTCTTTAGCACTTTTAAGCTTCTGATCATTCAATTGTCGTTTTTGGTTTCGTGTGCAGAATGGTGTCATGACATCTATTAAGCCACAACAAATTACTTTCATTGTTCCTGGTATCACGAACTTTGACCACGCAGAGATATCAAACTTCATTCAGAAAGCTCAAGATAATTTGGTCCGTTATTCTAGCAGTTGTGAGATGTATAAAATTCGACTTGAAATCTATTAGCTATATCTAGAAATGCCTTTTCTTTTGCTTTCAGGATCCTGCATTGCTCGAGTTTGCGTGGATTGAGCTTGTAGAAAAGAATAAGTCAACGACAGTGGAGGGACTTGCTGAGGTATGCCTTTTGCATAATCATTTTTACATCTCGATGTTCCTCTAACGGCACAGGTTTATTAACAGATGATTTTTGGTAGTGTGGAACCTCTTGAGTGCTATTCTGCCTATCTATTGCTTTCGAGAGATGATGTATACTTCACAGTTATGGAGACGAAAGGTTCAAATTCTGTTTATGGGCCCAGACCTGCCGTTCAGGTATGTTACAGCTATTTCTATTTGGCTATATTATTCGTGGCACCATGATCTTATCGCTTTATTAATATCATTAAATATTTCTAGGTTGAAGAACTTACTCAAAGGAAGCATGCCAAAGAGGCTGTGGAGAGGGAGTTCGAAGAGTTTGTTAATTTACTAAAATCTGCCAGGGATATGCCTCTGCATGCAAAGCCTCCAAAGTCTACATGGATATCTGATGAAAAAAATCAGAAGAAAATTTTGTCTCTTAAAGCATATGCAATTGATGATTGTAGGAGTGACGAAGAAAAGAAAACTGCTGGGACGGTAATTTGTTTGACCTTCTTATCGTTCAAAGTGAAGTGTTATTTACTTGAAAATTGGATTAACTGTCAAATGAATGCAAATGAACTTTTTAAGGGAGGCGAATAACTTCACTAATAGTTCTTTGTAATTGCATGCATTGCCATTATTCTATGTTAAAAACCCCAATACTGTTTGACTAAAAAAGGATAACAAAAGCTGCACACATGAGCACCTGCTTTTCTTCTGGCAGATTCTGAAGGCCATGGGACTTTCTAAAACATCATCAGCAGCAGTGAATCTCCTTACTGCTGTTGGTTATTTTCCAGTGCATGTAAATCTTGATTTATTGAAGTTAAACATCCGTACTGATCACCGGGAAGAGATTATTGCAGCTGCTGATAGGCTTCTGTCTGAGTCGGCTGACCTGGATGAGGTATGCTTGTTTCATAATTATAAGTAGATTTAACCATAATATAATGCCCCTTGGACATGGAGTTTGGAATCTAAGACGAGTTATTTCTAAATATATATAATCAATTTATCACGTCTATCAAAGTAAATAGCATGTTCCACACAGTACAGAAACACAGTGAGTGAAAAGAAATTGCAATCTGGTCTTATACCATTTGAGCAGGATATTATGCTTTTCTTTGTTGTCAGGTTGACAGAATAAATCTGACTCACTTGAAGGTTTATGCCATTGATGTTGATGAAGCTGATGAGGTACACCGCTTTTGAGATTCCTGGGGCAATTATTATATGCTTGAGGGGGCGTTAGTTTCAAATTGCTAATAAGCAGGTATGTGCAGCTCGATGATGCGCTGAGTGCAACTAGTCTTCAGGATGGCCGAATAAAGATCTGGATCCATGTTGCAGATCCGACTAGATTAGTCCAGCCAGGGAGCATGGTTGACAAGTATGTCTGAACTCATGCAAAAGTTAATGTTTCAAAATTAAAATTCTGAAACATTTAATAATATTGTTCTTGATCTTTAGAGAGGCGATGAAGAGGGGAACTTCTGTTTTCTTACCAACTGCTACATACCCCATGTTCCCCGAGAGATTAGCCATGGAAGGCATGAGTTTAAAGCAGGGGGAGCACTGCAAAGCAGTCACAGTCTCGGTTGTGCTGCATTCGGATGGCGGGTAAGTGGGTTAAGTATGCAAGTGACAATATACTACAATGGAAGTTCAGATTGTTGAAAAGCAAATGTATTATGGGCGTGAAATTCTCTTATGGGTTGTAAATGATCAATTTAGGTAGAGAGTGAATCATAACATTTTTTGGAGTCTAATCATTAGTAATTAAGGTGGATCATTTAAGTTGATTCTTCCTAAAGCAAAATTTGTGTCTTAGACTCATTGTCGAGAAATTACCTCTCCAATTTTCCATGCGCACTATGATGAAATCTCAAAATGATCTGACTGCTTCAATTTATATATAGCATTGCAGAATACTCGGTGGAAAACTCTATCATCAAGCCAACATATATGCTAACATATGAGAGTGCTACCGAACTTCTCCATCTGAACCTGGAGGAGGAGGCTGAACTAAGACTTCTTTCAGAGGCTGCTGCACTCCGGTTTCAATGGCGTCGAGGACAGGTTAACATTACTTTTTGAATGAGCTCAAATTTGTCCTCTTCATTTCAAATTTTGTTTTCCATCTCCTTTGTGCATTTTATAACGTTTGGCATTTGTGAATGTGAAATGGCCACACAAGAAGGTTGTAAAGTTTTGGCACACTATCTGTGATGTAGGGTGCAATAGACACATCTACACTAGAAACGAGAATCAAAGTGACTAATCCAGACGATCCAGAGCCTTCGATCACGCTGTACGTGGAGAATCAGTCGGACCCCGCAATGCGACTTGTATCCGAGATGATGATACTCTGTGGTGAAGTTATGGCCACTTTTGGTTCGTTAAACAACATCCCCTTACCTTACCGAGGCCAACCTCAGTCCAATATCGATTCATCGGCTTTTGCACATCTCCCCGAAGGCCCCGTAAGGAGTTCTGCATTGGTTAAGACCATGCGTGCCGCTGAAATGGATTTCAGAAAGCCTATACGCCACGGAACTTTAGGACTTCCTGGATATGTTCAATTCACATCTCCGATTCGCAGATATATGGATTTTCTGGCTCACTATCAGGTATTTAGGAAGCTGTGATATAGTAAAATTGGTTGAGGTTTGGGCTTGCTAATTGCTTCTAATTATGTAGGTGAAAGCTTTTCTTAGGGGGGATACTCCTCCTTTCTCAGCAGGACAGCTGGAGGTGATGGCATCTATGGTGAACATGACTACTAGGGTTGTGAGGAAGCTCAGTTCCAGCAGCCTCCGGTATTGGATAATAGAATATTTGAGGCGGCAACCGAAAGAAAAACGATTTTCCGCTTTGGTGCTCCGATTCATCAAAGATAGAGTTGCCTCGATACTCTTGTTGGAGGTAATGACAATAGTTTCTTGAAATTTTACGAATAACAAATATGCTTGAAAAGTAGCAGCGAGAATTTACTTTGAATACGTTCGTGCTGAGGACTAATAATGTTCACGCTGAGGACCCTGGATAAATATTTTTAACCCAATAACTGTTTCGGAATGAAAGCTATATATGTTTTCAAGTGCCAACTCAATAAGCAATTGATTGAAAGCTTTCTAGAAAGTATGGTAAAAAATTTGTTCGCCCTCATGAATTCTTATATGATTAATCTTACTTTCACTTCAAGAATATCACAATTGATCATTTTCTTGTGTAGGTTGGAGTACAATCTTCGGCCTGGGTATCTATCGGCGTACACGTAGGCGACGAAGTAAAAGTTCAAGTTGAAGAAGCCCATCCACGTGATGATGTTCTTTCTTGTAAAGAGGCTCCAGGGTTATAAAAATCTCGATTCCGGTAAATTTTGATACCTTCTTTCAATAAATAAAAACGTGACGTTCATCTTAATGCAACCTTTGGTATTTTTTTTATTAACAGTTAAATAAAATGAATAGACATTGAAGACTCAAGTAATTCCGGTTCTCAGACTAAGTTATACGCATCTAAGTGTATCTACACATACGCCAGCTACCCGAGAAATTTGAGGTTAGATAATTTGAGTATGTGGTATAATGTAGTTATTATCGATTGCAACATTTCATTTGATTCTTTTGTTGGGAGCGATTATAGGCCTCGTCATTGTCTCCTTTGCTGTCTGTATATACGAAATTTTTGTATGTAATATTATTATATTCGAATGTAGCTTTTTTAGTTCCGCGGTGGTGAAAAGCTGTGATATTCCCTTCTCCTATAATACATGAGCTGTTCTTTTTTCCTTGACGGTGTAAATTATGAGTCGAGATATGTCGCTGTATTTGCAGAATGGATGGTCCTTAATCCATATACCTGCAGTAAACCCTAGTGTGGTTTTGTTTTCATTATCTGTTTCATAGCAGCAGCGAGAACCAACGATGGAGATTGAAGACATGTGTATACGTATTCGCGAACAAGTCGAGGAATAGGGCCCGAAATACAGACAGCTGATTTGAGGTATCATTCTGGGATTTTTTGTCCACAATCTAAAATGTATGTATGTCCCCCTTTTCATATACATACAATCCTTTCACTTTCCTGCCATCATTCATCAACTTCTCCAAAATTATTTTAAATCTTCCACTGAATTCTATTCTACTTTTTATTTTATATTATTAGTTATCAATCATGTTAAAAAAATTTAAATATTAAATCTGTGAAAAAAATAATTATATTATTGTAAAATAATGAGTATATATTATTTTATTCAGTTACCTTTTAAGTGGTGGTCAACTTCAAAAGAATTATGTGTATATTTTTCAATAGTCAACTTCAAGTAATAAGCATAAAGTATTACTATTAGCAGTTTTTAATGTTTAGAAGGGTTTGATCACCGACCAAGTAAAGTTAATTGAGAAATTTACTAGCTAATGAAGTGGTAGTACGGAAACATTTGACTGTACCTTTGCTTTCATGTTGGAAAACATATATATATATATTTGTTATAGATACATAAACTAAGTTATATATTTATTTAAATATAAATAATTATGTAGGAGATAAATATATAATTAGAGTAATAATCTACTGTTATTGCATTACACATATGCATGTGCATTGGATCCCTAAAAACGTACAACTCCAAAGTCAAAGATTTACGCGGAAATCTGTTGTCGTGACCATTGATAAAACTAAACTAATTAAACTAACATTTAATAACTTTTTAATCCGTGTTCGTTTACAGTTGGAGTATTTACTAGATCGAAAAATAATTATTATTGAGCGCGATCGAGACCAAATTTAGTTTATCGTCTCATTCTTTTATTATCAAATACTCCATAATTCATATGTTCTATAATAACCTATGCTACACGGACACGGATACGTGGACACGGCGATACGCGGATACGGATACGGTCATACGGCATTTCTAGAAAACTAGGATACGGACACGCGGAGGATACGCGTAAATATAAAAAATATAGGGGTATATTTATAAATAATAAAAATATAGGGGTACATTTATAAATTGTAGAAAATATGTATAAGTCGTCATCGCATAAGAGAACCGCTCGCCATTGTTCTCGTCTCCTTGGTCACCGTCGCATGCTAGACTTTTGGAGTTTTGGGTGAACTCACAAAGAAAACAGAGGAAATGTGTATTACAGAGAAAAGAAAATGCCCTTTTTTTATTAGGGTTCTCTCTTAAAACGTCAAAGAAGTGTCCCAATTTTTTTTTAAATTGTGGACACTGCCCGACACGGGTGTCCTACTTTTAGCGAAATTACGACACGGCCCTGATACGAGTGTCCGAGAAGTGTCTCGGTGTATCTGTGTGTCTAGGTGTCGGATACGAGCGCTCTTCCCCTTCTAGAAGTGTCCGTGCAGCATATATAATAACTGTATATGTAAAAAAAACTATTTCATGTTATATGTGTGTTTCAATTTTCAATATTGTGTGGTATACAAATATTTTTTATATTTTATATATAGATACATATATATAGATATATATATATATATATATATATATATTTATATATATATATATATATATATATATATATATATATATATATATATATATATATATATATATATATATATATATATATATATATATATATATATATGATGATGCTAAAATATAGCTCACCTAGGGTAGTGTAGAAAATGAGTTGGGAGAGCAAAGCAGATCAGTAGCTTGATAACTTGATGATCCTGAGGTCCCTGCAAAATTAGCACACATGAACTAAGCCGGGGGTTGATCCGGCGGAAACCCCTCCGACGCTCAAGTCAGACATGCTGATAGTAGAAATAGTCCAGAGAATACGTATTGTAGTATTGCTCAGTTAATAGGACGTACCTTAATCAAATGAGTAAAACCTCTATTTATATGTCGTTTATTGGGTTGGGTTTGCTTTGTTGGGCCCAAGCCTTACTTGAAGGTGTTTGGGCCTCGGTGATATTAGTCTTTGATATTGGGCTCGTAGCCCAGTAGGTAAAGAAATTGTAGGCCCATTGGGTTGGCCCAATTAGGCATATCATTAAGCCCCCCACTCTCGAGTCGATGTGGGGGCCATGTTGTGATGGGTCTCAAATCGTGTCGAGAGTAAAAATTGTAGAAGTCGATCGTTGGCGTATGGCCTAATGGTATGCGAAAACGCGTTGGAGCGTGTGTCGGAGGGGCGTGAATGCGCGTTGGCGCATAGCGCGACAAGGTTGTCGCGATGTAAGTTAATTGAGTCGTCTGTTTTGTCTCACGACGATGTAGTAGCGAATTATCTCCTCGTGGGAGTTGTCCTGTCGCGGGGTAATAGTGTTGATCGAGTTATCTCCTCGTGGGGGTTGTCTCGCGATAATGTAGTAGCACGGATCAAGTAATCTCCTCGTGGGAGTTGTCTATGGGGTAATCGAGTTGATCGAGTTACGTCCTCGTGGAAGTTGTCTCACGATAATGTAGTAGCACGGAGCTAGTATTCTCCTCGTGGGAGTTGTCTATGGGGTAAACGAGTTGATCGAGTTACGCCCTCGTGGAAGTTGTCTCACGATAATGTAGTAGCACGGAGCTAGTATTCTCCTCGTGGGAGTTGTTATTTTTCGACATTGTCAATGTTTTGACGCGTTGCTTATATGTGTTTACATATAGCCTTGTGCGTGATGTACTTGAGGAGGGGATCAGGCTCTCAAGATTTTTATATGGGGATCGTGCCCTTTGTTAGACCTCATGGGTCGTAAGTATGTTTGGACCGTGGCCACGTTTTAATGGAGGACCCATCGAGAACAAGTAGATAAATTTGAGTAATCAAGCTGGCCAGGCTATATAGATTCTCATAATATCTCTAAGTGCTTCTAGGGTTGTAATCGTGCTAACTTGAGCTTGCGATTATATGGTGAATTTTGGGCGAGTTGTCTCCTCATGGGAGTTGTCTCGCGGTGAGTAATATTATCGAGCGAGGTGGTTACACGTGAGAGTTGTCTTGCAACGGATTTGTAGTGTCGAGCGAGTTGACTCCTCGTGGGAGTTGTCCCACTGCGGGTTGGGGTACCGAGCGAGTTGTCTCCTCGTGGGAGTTATCTCGCTGTAGGTTGTAGTACCGAGCGAGTTGGCTCCTCGTGGGAGTAATCTCGCTGCGGATCATAGGATGGAGCGAGTGGTCTCCTCGTAGGAGTTATCTCGCTGTGGGTTCGTAGGACGGAGCGAGTTGGCTCCTCGTGGGAGTTTCCTCGCTGCGGGTCGTAGGATGGAGCGAGTGGTCTCCTCGTAGGAGTAGACGCA